ACACACACACACACACACACACACACACTCACACACACACACATATATACTGTATATATTCTTTTAATATAAGCATAACAAAAATAGACAAATCAATAAATAAAATTGTGGGCATAAAATAAATAAATTAAAAATGTTTAAATGTTTCAAATTCAAAAAACCTGTAAAAATAAATTTGATAAACTAACTACTAATGAAAATAAAGCCTTTTTAAACTTTTGCATGGTAGAAACAGGAGCTGCTCTTCATTTTAGTGACAAACACTAACAGTACTAACAGCTTTTTGACAAGTTTAAGGTTTCTTTAAAATACATTAAAAATATTAAAAAATAAACTACAAAAAATAATTTGATAAAGTGCAAATTAAAATATTGTTGTATCTGCAACTGTATTTGATAATGTTTTGAACTTTTAAAGTACTGCATGATAGAAACAGAAACTGTACTTCATATTAGTGACAAACTTTGGCCTGTTTTGATGGTTTACCTTCATTTTTGCCTACTTTTCATTTGAAATACATTTTCGGCAGGCATCTAAGATTCTTCTACGTATTAAAAAAAGTTGTTAAACATCTGAGTGGTGCACTACTGCTACTAGTGGTGAGAAAGTGTATTGCACCTTATTCAAAATCAATGCGGTCCCACGGCCCTCTGCGGCCCAAAGTTAAAAACTGTTGTTCTTTTGAGGCCCTCAAGGTGGCGCTCACGGCAGGTTAAGAATCTCTGAACTTAAGGACCGAGTACTAACACCAGGGGCCTCACGCATAAAGGATTGCACAGCTTTCACACCAAAAGTTGATGTACGGACAAATTTAGAAAAGTGCGCCGCACCAAAAAATTCAGATGTATAAAACTGTGAGTACGCAGGTTCCTGCGCACCTTTCCTTTATACATCCCAATGAACGTGGAACTGAGACACCTCCCCTGACACGCCCCCATTTAAATCTGTAAAATAGATGTAAATGTGTCCAGTGTGTGAGACTCTCCTCAGATTGTCCTCTGTGGGATCAGAAATGATTTTTAGATGCAGGAAAATTATACATTAAATGCAGAATGAATGACAAAATTGTCAATATAAGTAGTGGGCTGTGAAAATGTGTTTGCCACTCGCAAAGGTGTGTGGGTGTTAGTGTGTACGCGCATGTGCTGTTATTTTCAGCGGTGCATGAGGCTGAGAAATATTTCCACCTTTACACATCTTTAATAAATGACTGTAAACACAGAGGAACTTACAACTTTTGTTGAACTTAGAAAAATATTCATTAAATAGTTGATTTGAAGAAATGCGCTTTTCCTGCTCTTGTAAAAAAATAGTACAACGCACCCGTCCTCCTCTGCCTCATCTCATATAAAACTGGCGCGCGGGGGGTACCTGGCGCATCAAAGCTGGACGCAAAAGGCTACCTGACCAAGCGTCAATATGACACGGGGGGAGTGAGAATGCGTTGGACTCGCAGCGCTGCGAGTTTCTGCCACGGTGTGGGACTGGGAACAGCTGATTGATCCATATGCACAACTTTACGCAGCAATAAATCTATTGTGGAGCTGAGGAATCATCACAGCTGAATATTCTGAGTTGATAATGTTTTTTTTCTCAATGAAAATTAAAAATGTTTCTTAGACAATTCACACATTTTATTCTCCTCAGCTGTGTGTGTGCCATGCACTCTGCGTGTGTTTCCAACTACAACAATATAAAAAGTTTACAGTTTAGACTGAAGTTCTTTTGATCAGTTTTAGATTGATCTATTTTCTTGTCTGAGGTTAAATGATTTTCAGTCCTGGGGTTCCGTTTCATGATCGTTCGAGTTTAAACAATAAAAACTCAAACTAAAATAAAACTCTAACACCGTGTTCCTTACATCCAGAAAACAGAACAGAGTCATATTTCTGTGGATTCAGGTCAGATTCATGACTTTGTGGGTTATAACTGTCGACTGAAAAACTTTGCGTGACTGCCGCACATTCTCACGGCAGGTGAGAATGTTGGTTTTAATACATCCCAACGTGGGCGTAGAACCTGGCGCACGTAACTTTTTCATACATACGCACCATTTATACATGAGGCCCCAGATATTTGTAAACAATGCAAGTGACAGAGTTAATCATGCTAACAATAGGTCTTACCGGTACATCCTGTTTGTGAATTTTGGGTAAACCATACAGACTAGGAGTGGCCTCACCTGGGTACAGTGTGTGGTAGAGAATGTGGTTAATAACCTTGACCTGCTCTAACTTTTTCAGGCACTCTATTAACTTCTCCTGGATCTCTTTTCTGTGGCTTGTATGTGGTCGTGTCACTAAGGAGTGTCATAACCTTCTCATGGTCTTTCTGGTGCACCTTCCTTTGTCTGCTGGGAGGATGATGATGTTCTTGTCCTTGCTGAGGGTGGTGAGAGTGCCTCTCTCTCTCTTCTCTACTGATGTTAGAAGGTGGTGGTTTGGCATTGCTAAGACAGGCTGAAACTTTGTTCCTAAGTTGTTCTGCTTCAAATTCTGGGATTTTGTTGTTGCAAATGGATTGGAGGAATTCTTCTGGGTGTGATTGCAAAGTTCAGTCCTCAGGTAAGGATTTCGGTTTCTGGCTGGATGAGTTCTCTGTCAGGTAAATTCTTCACTCACTTCTCGGTCTTCCTGGCATTTGCTTGTGTTCCGGTGTGTTGTCCAACCTTCTGTGAGTTGGTGGGATTGCAAAGGGACTGACGAGTTGCCAGTGAAGTAAACTTCTGTTGTTGTCAGATCTTGGACTTAATAAGCTGAGCTAAACCTGCCTTTTCTGTGAAATCCATAATCTGCTGGAATGTGGTCTGATCTAGACGTGTTGTTAATTCTTGTCTAATGTGATTCGTTTCTCATCCAAGTCATCTCTACTTTGGCACGCTTCTCCTCCTGCATACTTTGTCCTAGAGCTGCCATTGTAATTTATATCTGTAAAGTTCCTGCGCCAAATAATGGCTATGCCTTTTGGTGCCTTTACAACTTACAGTTTTTTTAAATATTAATGTTTAATAATTTATAATGGGAGTCAATACAGCCTTGTATTGGTCCAATGCTGCCCCCTGCTGTATCTACTCAGTACTGAACCATAGTTTAATATTTAATCTCAATAGTTCAGTGTTTACAATACTAATATGATTGTAGTTTGATGTTTTACTATAATATTGTTCAAATATTGCTTTATTGTTGTAATATTTTTCAAATTAGTAACAACAATTACATTGGCAATGTGGCCACTCTCTGCACACATACAAACCAAACCCTGGCCTCGTTCTTAACCACAGTTCCAATGGTTTTATGGTTAGTGCCATGGGCTTTCATGTACGAGATCAGGGTTCAAAACCCGGCAACAGCAACTTTAACAGAAAATCTCTACAAACTTCATATTGTCACACAATTACCCTCATTACAAACACCTGCTGACTTGACAAGCACAGGCTGGTATAGAAAATACATTTGAACTTGGTCACATTTCATTCTGCAAGTCCACTGCTGCAGGCAAAGCCATGCTGCAATGACATGCTACATGGCAATGCACACTTGTTTTTACATCGTAAAAACCCATGTCTAGTTGGATGTGTTCTTCTTTGGTCTCTAAAGTTTAAACGGTGAAGTTTGTACAGGTGTCCTCTCCTCTCATCTGGTGTTAGGTTATGTAAACTGAACCAAAATGATTTGTGGGGTGGAGCACACAAACAAAAGAGACCTATTCATGTAGTTTTGTTTAGACTCTGACTCTGGCTACACGTGAGCAGGTATTTAATTGTTCCCAAATGGTAGCAGTAAAATCCAGTTTATTATACAACACATGGACCAGTGATGTTCTGAAACACTCAGCCTTGATGTTTTATTCTTGAGCCATCACAGGTTCAACATTGTCTCAACACTGCAGGTATTATGGACTATGTGGGCTTAAGAACCAATTGTACAGTTAAAACCTACCAGTCCTGCTGAACAGCGGTAATTTTAACCCAGACAGATCCCATGAGCAACTCTGCCTGCCTGCCAAGAGTTGTATAGTGTGTGCCTGTATGCACAGCCTCAGGCACAAAGTCGTTGTCTATACAGGGATTATTATAATTGACTAATCTGTGTTTGCACAATGTAATGGACCTCAAGAAGGGGGGAAAATTACTGTGTGGTTTGGAAATGTGAAAGCATGAGAAAAAAATAAGAAAGGATGTCTGGAGAAAAAAATAAACAAAGTTGAAACGTAAAAAGTAAAAAAACACACACACTGTAGTGACAGAGAAGAGGAGAAAAGGAAAGAAAGGGATAATGTTTCCACCAGGACTGAGTGGGGAGTGAAAGAGGAGTCTCAGAGAGGAAGTGAGAGATAAGATGAAGAGAGGAGGAGGAGGAGGAGGTGGTAAGTGAAGGAGAGGATGGAGGGGCATTCCTGACTGTGAGCAGTTAATCTGAAATCCAGATGCCTGAAGGACCAACAGAGAGTCAGCCACTTCACACACACACAAACACACACACACACACACACACACACACACACACACACACACACACACACACACAC